GGGAGCCCGATGTGGGACTCGATCCCGGGACTCCAGGATCATGACCTGAGCCGAAGGCAGTCGCTTAACCAACTGAGCCACCCAGGCGCCCAAGCAGGCAACTCTTTACAAAGGCATTCCTCTGTATAAGTAATAAAATTATTATCCCTAAAAATTAATAATTTCATGATATCTATTATCTAGGTCATATTAAGATTTCCCTAATTTGTTTTCTTGGTCTAGGGTCCATTGAAGGTCTGGGTATTACATTTGGATGTTAGGTTTGTTTTTTCTGTGTTTTTTTTTTTTTAAGATTTATTTATATTTATTTGACAGTGAGTTTCAGAAAGAGCACAAGCAGAGGGAGAAGGAGAGCAGGCTCCCAGCTGAGCAGGGAGCCCAATGCGGGGCTTGATCCCAGGACCCTGAGATCACCGCTTGAGCTAAAGGCAGACGCTTAACCCCAACTGAGCCACCCAGGCACCTCCTGCTTTTTTTTCTTTTTTTTTAATAGGCGCCATGCCAAATGTGGGGCTTGAACTCACGACCCCAAGATTGAGAATCACATGCTCTACCAACTGAGCCAGCCGGGTGCCCCTGGATGTTAGGTTTCTTTAATCTCTTTTTTTTAAGATTTTCTAACAGTTTATTTTACAGAGAGACAAGAGAGGGAGCACAAGCAGGGGGAGTGGGAGAGGGAGAAGCAGGCTTCCCACTGAGCAGGGAGCCCAATGCGGGGCTTGATCCCAGGACCCAAGGGATCATGACCTGAGCTGAAGGCAGACGCTTAACAACTGAGCCACCCAGGCACCCATTTAATCTCTTTTAAAATAGAACATTTCTCCTACCTTTTTTTTTTGGGAAGGGGGAGGAGCAGAGAGAGAGGGAGAGAGAATCCCAAGCAGGTTCCATGCCCAGCGGGGAGCCTGATGCAGGGTTTGATCCCACGACCCTGAGATCCTGACCTGAGCTAAAATCAAGAGTTGGACGCTCAACTGCCTGAGCCACCCAGGTGCCCCACCTACCTTTTTTTTTTTAATTGAAATTAGTTTTTTAAAAAATCCAGTCTGGTTACTTTGTTACTTTGTAGAAAGTCCCATAGTCCAATTTTTTCCCATGGTGGTAAACTTGCTCTTCTGTCCAATATAGTAGCCACTAGCCACATGTAGCTCTTTAAATTCAAATTTAAGTTAATTTAAATGAAAATTAAAATTCAGTAGGTTGGTGGTTACTGTATTGGGTGGTGCAAATATAGAACACTTACATCATTATAGAAAGTTCTGGGGCGCCTAGGTGGCTCAGTTGTTAAGTGTCTGCCTTCAGCTCAGGTCACGATCCCAGGGTTCTGGGATCGAGCCCCGCATCCGGCTCCCTGCTCAGTGGGGAGTCGGCTTCTCCCTCTCCTGCTCCCCCTGCTAGTGTTTCCTCTCTTGCTGTCTCTCTCTCTCTGTCAAATAAATAAAATCTTTAAAAAAAAAAAACTAACCCCTCCACCCCTCCCGCTCCCCGCTCAGTTGGTAGAGCATGTGACTCTTGATCTTGGGGTCATGAGTTCAAGCTCCATGTTGGGGGTAGAGATTACTTAATAAATAAAAGTTAAAAATAAGCTATTGGGGCACCTGGGCGGCTCAGTCGTTAAGCGTCTGCCTTCGGCTCAGGTCATGATCCCAGGGTCCTGGCATCGAGTCCCGCATCGGGCTCCCTGCTCAGCGGAAGGCCTGCTTCTCCCTCTCCCACTCCCTCTGCTTATGTCCCCTCTCTCGCTGTGTCTCTCTCTGTCAAATAAATAAATAAATAAAATCTTAAAAAATAAAATAAATAAGCTATTAAAAAAAACAAAGTTCTATCAGACAGTGCTATAAGCCTACATTTCCTCTAAACTGGAAGTAGGTCTACAGGCTTTATTAGATTCAGGTTAAACATTTTTGCAGGGGCGCCTGGGTGGCTCAGTCGTTAAGCGTCTGCCTTCAGCTCGGGTCATGATCCCAGGGTCCTGGGATCGAGCCCCACATTGGGCTCCCTGCTCTGCTTCTCCCTCTCCCACTCCCCCTGCTTGTGTTCCTTCTCTAGCTGTGTCTCTCTCTGTCAAATAAATAAAATCTTTAAAAAAATTTTTTTTTTGCAAAGAATGCTTAATAGATGATATTATGTACTTCACATTATAGCACCCTGGAGCCATATCAGGTTAGAATGTCTCACAATTAATTATGCTGAGTTTGATTGCTTGGTTAAGGTGGTAACTGCCAATCTCATATATAGAATACATTTTCCCTTTGTAGTTAGTAGCATCTAGAGATGAACATCAAAAGTCTTAAAATAGTTTTTCCTGATATTTATTATGGCGTTCAGCATTTCCTCATTTAATTAGGTACTCATCTTAAACCATACTAGGTTTTGATATTTGAAATAATAAGGATAATAATAAAAAAGAAATGGACCCTGTCTTCAAGGTCTATAATTTAATAGTAGACACATAAAAACAGTCTAGGAATATAAAGTAATAGGAAGTGCAAATGAATATGGTTGAAAACCAAGAGAAGTGGGGCGCCTGGGTGGCTCAGTCATTAAGTGTCTGCCTTTGGCTCAGGTCATGATCCCAGGGTCCTGGGATCAAGCCCCGCATCGGGCTCCCTGCTCCGCGGGAGGCCTGCTTCTCCCTCTCCCACTCCCCTTGCTTGTGTTCCCTCTCTTGCTGTGTTTCTCTCTGTCAAATAAATAAAATCTTAAAAAAAAAAAAGTGAATCAGGAATTATAAGGTAGAGTCTTAGTAGGGAAGAGAGCTTTGGTTCAGGCTTTAGAGGTAAGTTTGGGAGGGCGTTTTGGAAAAAGTGACAAAAGACAAGGGAAGGGGTGGTGGGTGAAGACACAGGGTTAGAAATGAGTAAATCACCAAAGAAAGCTTTCATCTTAAATAACTGAAATTTGAGAAGAATATCCCCTGGCTTCGATCAAGTCCCTGGAGAGCTGGGGTCTGAGAAATGTTTAGATATCCAACTACCTGAGAAAGCAAAATGGCTTCCAAGGCAATGGTTCCTGGCCCTGTCTCCCTAAATGACATGGAGCTGGACCGCTAGCTGTTCCTTGTGTTTCCCAAAACCCAAATAAAACCGAACATTTGCTTGTAACAGTACTGCCCAACTATATAAAAAAAAATATTTATTGGCTTCAAAACAACAACAAAAGGAACCCACACAAATATATAATAGTAAAAAGTAAAAGATTTACCACACCCCCTGAGACACACACACACAGCCCATTGCCCCAATCCACTACACTAGAGTAACTAGAGTGATTTGGTGAATATTATGCCAGAGCTTTTTCTAAACATTTGCAAACAGATGTACAGCAATATTAGCTCATATTGTTGGAGTACGGCTACATCATAATGTAACCATTCCCTTCACAAGAGACACTTAGATTGTTTCCAGTTTGCCCTATTACAAAACGCTTAATTGAATACCATTGTACCTGTACCTTGCTCAAGTGTCTGCTTTTTTGGTATTACAGAAAGTCAGTATATTAATTCTAGTAATTTCATGAGGGCGCCTGGGTGGCTCAGTCGTTAAGCATCTGCCTTCAGCTTAGGTCATGATCCCAGGGTTCTGGGATCGAGTCCCACATTGGGCTCCCTGCCCAGCAGGGAATCTGCTTCTATCTCTGCCCCCCCACTCCCCCTCCCTGCTCGCTTGCTCTCTCTCTCTCACAAAAATAAAAAAAAAATCTAGTAATTTCATGGAAAAGTAAATTAGTTACTGAGCTTGTGAATATAGTTTGGTAGAAAAAGTATGTCAAAACTGCCATGGAGGTGGGAGAA